GCAGTACGTCCAACAAGTCCCACGCGCCTACTATGAGCATTTAGGGCATACAGGAAACCACCGGTACCATGAGAATGGGCATTTCGACACCACGATCCCACGGACGCTTGTTGTATACATGAAAGAATTGTGACGACCTTAGGCTGGTTTTTCGATCTTAGCTCCCGCTTCGGGTAGATAAAGTTTTGCGGATCCCAAGATCGTTGAGTTATTTAACTCTGAATTGACAAGCGTAAGTTGTCACGGCTGTCTCCTTCCAGCTACAACGGGCTAGTAAAGGCTACTGGGCTCTAGATCGTTGATGACAACAGGTATATATACAAAGATGAAACGTCAATACTGCGCAGAAGCAGATATGCACCAGTCAAGCGGCCCACCATGGCACCAAGTATCCACATGGTACCGCGTACTACTTGCCGTAGTCAGTGCCAAGGAGGCACACTGGATGCACACACGGCTTGGGGCCACCAAACTGGCATGATCCAACATCTCCGCTACATTGGCATCCCACGCGCAATACGGAGTTTCAGCAGCAAAAGCAATGCAATGGGTGCTTATTGTGGCAACCCGTTGGTAATGTCCTAACATAACCGATGACACCTTGTGCTTTTGCCACAGCAGGGGGTGGTTCTGTAGGTTGTGTACTAAACGTGTGGAGCGAACTGCGGACCCCTCAACTATCTCACATGTTCCTGCATTGCATTTCGTCATGATTAGCACCCGCCCCGCACTAGGTTCTACGCGTTGAGGGGCATAGACACCTCCAGACGCGTCGAGTGTGATAGCCACTGATACATTTTCATTTCGCCATTGAACAGCAGCAATCATGGGTAGCTTCGACCAGAGCAAAGCGTACGCAGCACAAGAGGAAGAGGGAGCTTTTTTTGACGATGGACGGGAGATTGAGCTACTGCACTTTGTTTACTCGCACCCCAACATTGACAAGATACGAGATTCACCAGAGGGCGTCTTAGCTGCCATTGATGAATATGGGCGAACAAAGAAGTATCTGATGAATGTTGGGGAGGACAAGGGCCGTATTGTTACTGATCTTATTGCAGAGGTCAAGCCAAAAACTATGGTATGCAAGTCTCGAGGAACAAGACCAATTTTCTAACAGCAAGCAGATCGAACTCGGCGGTTACGTAGGCTACTCGTGTATCCTCTTCGCAGACGCAGTACGCAAGGCTGGCGGTGAGCGATACTTTAGCTTCGAGCGTGATCCTGCATTCGCAGCAGTCATCATGTCCCTCGCCGACCTTGCAGGGCTCAGTGATCTCGTAAAGGTGGTCGTGGGCTCGAGCGACGAGGGAATTGCACGTCTGGTAGCATCTGGCCAGCTCAAGCATGTGGATCTCATGTTCCTAGACCACTACAAGCCAGCCTACACGACGGATCTCAAGCTCTGCGAAGAACTAGGACTGATCACAAAAGGCTCAGTGCTCGCTGCAGACAATGTCATTAAGCCCGGAAATCCGCCGTACTTGAAGTACGTCAGGTCGAGCGTCGAGGAGAAGGTCAAGGAGGCTGGAGAGAACGGCCAGACGAACCTCAACGGCATTGCTGAGACGAATGTCAAGATGTACGAGAAGCGATATGGCAAGGCCAAGTTCAGTGAAAGCAAAGGCAACCCGCATCTGCAATACGAGAGCAGGCTGATCAACAGCTACGAGCCGACGGGCGTACCTGTAAGTCTAGACCCTTGACCAGCTCCGTGGCCGAGTGCTGAACATGACAGGACGGGATCGAGATTACGAGATGCGTTGGGTAGGAACGCGTGAGAATAGAGAGATATGGGCAGTACAGTTTGGTCACTAGGGGTCCGGGGCGGATGTGGAGTCCGGGGACTGGCAGGAAGGAGGGGGAGGGATATTCAGTACGGGTCCAGCTACAAGAGTGAATGTGATCAAAACATGCAATCCTCCTTGCTGATGACGGAGCTTCGAGAGGGATGCCGACGCCACCTCGGAATGCAATGCAGTGACTATGCAGCAGGTGGGTGGTCAGTCACAAAGAAGCAAATACACAAGACAGCAGGGATGAGGATCTACGCGACGTCTACTTACTTTGCTGAATCTCGTACGGAAGCATCGGTGTCTAGCGGTGCCGCGCATGTCGTACGCGCATATTGTCCACGGCCCAAATAATGATGACGTTTAGACTAGTCGACCACCCATATCTTTCGCCGTGCGCCTGCGCCCGTCTGCCCCACGCATCTCGACCACCTCGTATGTAAGGTATACTGACATGCACGCGCGGCAAGCATTATACCGAGCCGTCCTGAGCCGCTAGCATTCATTACTTGCAGCTTGCAGTTTGCGCGTGGACGAATCCCACTGGTCGGTGCGCCTGGGATCAAAGTAAGCCCGTGAGGGTGTGTTGGGACCTGTCTGAACGGTGAAGCACTGCGAGCACAAGTGCCGAGGTCACGAGCTCCAACATCCAGCATACCAACCCCAGAAACATGGCCAAAGGCATCGAGCCTGATGCTGCCTTGCCGTTTTACTACCGCCATGTAGGCAAGAACGTGCTGCTGCTGGCGCTGAGCGCGCTGCTTGCTCCTCTCTCGGCCGCTTTGGTCCTGTTGGGGCTTGCTGTGACGAAGCTCCACGGAGAGCGCACTGCAACATTCACCAGAGAGGATAGGAGACATGTCGCAGCCACACGGAGGCGCAAGACGATTCTCGTCACGGGCGTGTCCATGACAAAGGGCTTGACTATTGCTCGAAATTTGGCCCAGCATACACCGCATCGCATCATTGGTGCCGACATATCCGCGCTCTCTCCAGGCCGATTCTCAACCGCGATATCAAAGTACTTTCGTCTGCAGACACCCATTGGCGACGATGCAGAACCGTATATCGACTCCCTACTCTCCATTATCCAGAACGAAAAGGTCGACTTGTGGATCTCCTGTTCCAGTGTTATTGCAGCAGTCGAAGACGGACAGGTTGTTCGTCTAGCAGAGATACAAGCAAGAGAGCGTGGACGTCCGTTCGAAGCCATTCAATTCCGTGAAGATGTCGTTGAAAAGTTTCATGAAAAAGACAAGTTCATTGACTACATTGAGTCACTCGGTCTCCCGGTTCCGGAATCCCATCGCTGCACAGACGCAAACGAAGCACTTGATGTGCTCATGAGAGAACTGCACAGAACCCCTACAAAAGGAAAAAAGGACAGCCGCCGAAAATTCATCATGAAACCAATTGGCGTCGACGACAAAGCCAGGAACAATATGATGACTTTACTCCCTTTCCAGACGACAACCGCAACAGCTGACTACATCCACTCGCTCAACATCAGCAAAGACAACCCCTTCCAGCTCCAACAACACATCAAAGGAAACGAATACTGCACTCACGCCCTCGTCATTCGCGGAAAGGTAAAAGCCTTCACCAGCTGCCCCAGCCTCGAACTCCTCATGCACTACGAATCCCTCCCCCCATCCTCCCCCCTCAGCCAAAAAATGCTCGCCTTCACCGAACGCGTCTGCGCCGACGGCGGCTCCAACTTCACCGGCCACCTAAGTTTCGACTTTCTTGTCGAAAACGACGATAAAGGCGTAGATGCAAAATTCTACCCTATAGAATCTAACCCACGCGCTCACACCGCCGTCGTCCTCTTCGAACAAACACCCGAACTAGCTGATGCGTATCTCTCTATTTTTAACCCCCCATCTTCTTCTTCTTCTTCTTCTTCTTCTTCTTCAAAGCCGGACGCCGCACCTCCGGTTTTCCCCCGCTCCCCCACAAAATCTTACTATTGGCTCGGCCACGATCTCGTCGCCCTGGCTATCCTTCCCCTCCTCGACTCCCTCTTCCGCACTACATCTCCGCAGAAAGCTCTTGCGGATTTAGTCACGTTCGTCAAGCACGTTGCCTCGTGGAAAGACGGGACCTACACGTTTGAAGACCCTGTTCCGTTTTTCGTGCTTCATCATGTTTATTGGCCTGCTAGGTTTTTGGAGGCGTTGACGCAGGGGAAAGTGTGGAGTCGGGTTAATGTTAGTACAACTAAGATGTTTGAGGGGTAGGTTTAGGTTTAGGTTGGGTTGGGTTGGGTGGCATGGGAGATTGTATGACGGGCTGGGACGGGGGATGGGGTGATGGGGAATCAAGACACGTGAGGCTATATGACAGATGATATTGGCGCATAAGGGGGGAAGGGGGGGAGGGGGGGGGTTAAGGACGGGCAATGAATGTACACTCACGTAATCATCACTCTCAGATCAACAGAAATAGCATACGTAGCGCTAATAGCATAGCAGAGAGATAGTATCATTATAATGCAATTTTTTTTTGGGTTTCATTATAATCCTCACGTAGCCCCCTCTTCCTCTACTTCGTATCCTCATTTTAAGTAAAACAAACCTAGCCCAAGTTTCACCCTGTACGCAACGCATGAATGTTATGGGTTTATCTCGCAGATCCTGGGGTAAATTATAGTAATAGTGTCTTGTGACATCGAAGCCGGGGTCGGGGCCAGTGGGTTTGGCTGGGTTAGGATTGGAGGGACGGGGGGGGCCAGGGAGAGTAAAAGATGAGTTGGGATTGGAGAGAGAGAGAGAGAGAGAGAGAGAAATATCATGCTGATATTCCAGCGGTATAATATCACAAATGCCAAGTGCGTTGCTCGTGCAAGAAAGAAAGAAGAAAGAGAGAGAATGTCCACTCTACGTAGTCTCAACTTTATTTAAACTTTGCAACACTCTTGGCGGAGGAAAGAAGGAAAAAAAAAGCGGATGTATTGGATTTGCGAAACGGAGGGGGAAGGGATGGAAGGGGGGAGGGAGGGATATAAATGTGTACGTAAGCAAAATTGAAATCACCTCAAGGACGCAAGAAAGAAAAAAGAACGCGCGCGTGTGTGTGTGATGAGATAGAGGGTAAACGAAGGGAGTGGGTATATTTCGCACTTCCAGATAATCACAGCCCCAGAAACGCGGACAAAAAAGTCTAAAGAAGAAGAAAAAAAAAGAGAGAGAATGAAGGCAGGAAAAATCACCAAATGATTCCCCTCCACTCAAACGAGCCATCAATATTTCTCCACTTCCTTCCTTCAATCGCTTCGCTCCATCCCATCATCACGCCCAGAAGCCGACAACTCACACTGCTCACCGTGCAGATAACCGTATCGGCTTTGCCCAGCACTGCGAGATCAAGCAGGTACGCGCGTCCTACCAATTCCCTTAGCTTCATCGCGGATTCCGGGACGTCGGAGGCGGGGTTTTTGATAAATTCCTTCATATCCTTTGCATTTCCGACGGGTTGGCCGAGGGAGAAAAAGACGTCGTGGTAGAATCCTCCCTCCCAACCCGTGACTTCATCGATCCAAGGGTTTTTCTTGGGCTCCTTTTGTGCGGCTTCGAGCTGCTGTTTGGTGGCGAGGACGATGCGGTCTTGGGCGCGGATGCTGTTTGGACCGAGTTCGGGCGAGTCGTAGACGAGGGGGTCGTCGGAGGCGAGGATCATTTTGGAGCTGGTGTGGCGAGGGGTTAACGGGGATGAGGAGCGAGAGGAGGAAGAGCGTTTCTTAGAGCGTTTGGATTCGCCTTCGACGATTTCAATGTAGAGGTCGCGAGCGGTTTCGATGTAGCGGGCGAGGGGGATGTAGTCTTTTGCGTATTGGTATTCCATGGGGTGTTTGTCGCCGTGGCGGACGTGCATGCCGATGCTGAGGCCGCCTTCGAGTTTGACGGCGCCGTACATGTCGTGGGATTTTTGGAGCACGTAGGCTTCGTCATCGGTACGGAGCTTGAAGAGGGCTTCGTAGCCGGTGCGGGCGAGGGCGAAGATCTTGGATTGGCGGAGGACACCGACTTTTCTGGCGTCTTCGTATTGCTCGGTGAAGGCATGGCCAAAGGTGCTCTTTACTGTTGCATCACTGACGATGAGGTGGTTCGCGGAGTGGGGGCAAGGGACGATATGGGATGGCGGGGGAGGAAGACAGCCTGCAGAGGGTGGGGGTTGGAAGTAGGTCGAGTACTTGCCATAAGGCCTAGTCACTGTTAGTCAAAGAGATATTTCTCAAAGTGCACTGAGCATACCAGCGAGAGTCGTCAATGAAGAAAGCACGGTTCTCAGTCTTCGCCAGACCATACGACATCCACAACCGCATCAGTGTATTTCCAAACCCAGCATCTCCAGTCTCCATGACGTAGGTCAAGCTCCTTTCACAGACCTTGAGCCCCTCTGTCGAAGCCCCATCCTTCATAGCCTGATCCTCGACAAAGTTCTTTGGCCTTCCCTTTGACTTGGCAGGTGGCAACAGTGCCTGTTCCTCCGCCTCTTTAATATCAATGTAGTACTGATCCTTTTGGTTATAAGGCACCATCCTCCTAGCATGACTCGCCGATTTCTTAGACCCCTGACTGACTTCCTTGGACACTTCCATTGCCTGGTGGCATATCTCGCGGTACTGCGCCGGTTGCAGCGGGAAATCATAAGTTGACGGAATCGACACGGTCCACCTCATTTTGCCCTTTGCATCTATGAGCGCAACAGCAGACGGCTCATGTGGCAACCGGCTACCACCAACCATTTCCCACTCATCCTCAACCTCGTCGTCATAAGGTGTGGCGTAATGCGAGTTTGTGTAGATGTGCCTTAGTACAATCCACAGCAGAAAAGCTACGCCACAGCATCCCAAAAGTATCCTCTTTACAAACTTTCCATGGTTCGGGTGCGGGATCTTTCCATGTTTGGGTAGTAGGCTCGGAAGGCTCGGGCTGGCGGGGGGAGATCTCGCAAGTAGTCCGCGCCGGGAGGGCAGTGTCGGAGAGAGAAAAGCGCTAGAGGTAGCCGAGTGAGGTGGGGGTTCCAGTTGCGAATATTGAGCTGTCGGCTGCAACGACAGACCGGGGTTCCGTCTGGCATGCATCTTTGTGATTTTTTGAGTGACTTGGTTCAGCATAATGAGAAGCAGAGATACGATGTCGTCAGCACCTCAGGGCAATTCGATTCGTAACTAGGGTGAAATTGCGAAAATCCGGCCAAATCGGGCGACTTGCTGGCCGTGCGTGTCGTACCACTCGGATGACGCAGGAAGCTATTGCAGCAAAGTACAATGTGTTGCTCGTATAAGCAGGATGAGATCGTTTGCGAAAGGGTTCGGAAAAAAAAACACTCCCCCCAAAAGTTTTGTAAGTTGAAGGAGGGGACGAAGGGCACCGCCGTTCAAACAAAACAAAAATTCGAAAAAAAAGTAAGAAAAATGTGCAAGAAAAGATAGGACGCAGTCCCCCGATGACAAGAATGTAGGATGAAGTAAGTGGAAGAAAAAGAAATGAAGAAAAGATGCACAAGAAGAGAAAGTGGAAATAAGGCCCCGGGTCCTTCAAGAAGCCATAGAGAACACGGGCGTAAGAGCGGGCGCAACCTTTCCTGGTGCAAGAGTGGTTTCACACCCAAAACGAAAGGGTACTTCGTACTCAGGATTGGGCAAGATCCAAGCGTATCCACTGCAAAAAAAAAAGACTCCCTCGTCTAACAATGCCGCGGGAAGAAAGGGTGGAAAAGACCGCTGTGCGGTCCGAGGGGGGGGAGGGGGGTGCACAAGGAAAGTGCAAAACGATTCACACAAAAGACGGCAGAGAGGATGGGGGGGGGCTCGATAGGGTCGAAAGGTTAAGATTGGGAAGGAGAAGGGGACTTGCTTATTTGAGCAAAAGGTGGGACAAGAATGAATGCGGAAGGCGGGAAGGAGGGTCTTTCATTTCGCTGCATGTGCGGGGAGGGGGGGAGGCGAGGGGGGTTCGAAGGTGTTTCAGCTGCGTCTTTTAGTGTAACGTCGTCGAGGCGCTGGTGCTGGGAGGCGTTGCTCCATCTCCGGCGCTAAGCAGTAGTGTCTAGAAACAACCACCTGACGACTGTCTACCACGGTTTGCAGCATGTTGGTTGGTGGCGTATACCAACCTTAGATATTTAAATGGCGGGGGCGGCCTACTATCCGTCCTGCCCTAGGTTTGAAATAAACAGATACACACCAGTCAGGCTGCGTGTTTGTAGACTGCTATTATTAAAGGCCCTTTTTCTATTCCAGAAACATTATGCACAGCTGGGCATGCAGTCAGACGGGCATCAACTTGATCGTCCCGAGAGACCCTGGTAAGGCTTACTATCATCAATTGGGTAACCGTGTCTGTCTACTACCATACTTGATCCTATCTACCAGATGACAGTGGGAATACGTATGCAGTCTTTTCTAAGTACTACCAATACAAAAAAAAATGCCTTCCACCTAAATTTATTAACACAAACGCAAGCGCCCGCTACCCAGAGGAAATGGACGTGAGACTAGTCATGTGAGCTGGACAGGACAGATCATGAAGCTACTTGATGTGGCTGCTATATGTGCATCGTGAGCGAAACAAAAAATGTTGACCAACTATGTAAGATGAAAAAAGGGGGTATCAGATCGAAGGTCCCTTGACGCAGGAAGGTGGGGGAAGAATGTAAGAAAAAAAACGAAACAAAAAAGGTAGTGTACAATCCTCCCGGGGCTGCATCGAATAGGGTAGTGCAACAGAAGACCCTCCCCTCCTTCCCCATCGTCTAATGCCCGTGCGTACCCATCGCAGACGCGCTTCCCGGGTTCCCAGGTCGGGAATCCATTCCTGTGCCGGTGTTGTACTCCGTAACCCATTCAACGCCAATCGCTATGGAATCCCTCGTAATTGAAGAGAGATTGCTGCATGTGAAAGATATAATAAGAAAATAAAACTTTTGAGGTACTCGGTCTGGCGCCGTTGCGTTGGTGCTGACTCTTCTCATCTCCATTACAGTACCTCTTTTCGTCTTTGAATGTAATGATGCGGTGCTGGTCCGTGTCAAGTACCCGACATGACGCTCTCGCGTTTTGCTTTTGTCATCTAGGCCAAAGCCCATCAGCCTTCGGTGACTGGCATGAGACTGCTTCGCCTAGCAGTCTTCTCAACACGTCCGGTGATCATCTCGTCGAGCATGCGTGTCATCTCTTCGATGTTCTTGGTTGTTCCGTTGGAATTTGGAGGCGGGAAGGGTGCTTTCACACTGGGTGCAGGCGATGCCGGACCCTTGTGAACCATGCTGGCCGCGCTGCCATCACTGGCGCTGCGTTGGTAGCCCGAGGTTCGACGGCTGCCTGGTGATTCACTTCCCATGTCGTGTGCATTGTCGTTCTTCTTGCGTGCCGATGTGAGGGCTGAAATCATCCGCTCCTTGTCTTCGAGTTGTGCGCGAAGGTTCACAATCTCATTGTCTCTCTCAGCAAGAGCCGCGATCATGCTACCTTCCTCACTACCAGTAAGCCTGTGTGATAGTGAGAGAGAAACTCGAGAATGACTAGCTCTCCGAGCGTGCAGCAGACGCTTTTCGAGGGTAGCAATGTAACGGTTCTTGTCCGAGAGATCGGCTTGCAGTGCTTGTATCTGCACGCTTTGAGTTGCATAACCGTCTCCATTGTCACCAACAGAATCGTCCTCTTCAGAGCCGTCGGGGTGTAGTTGTGGGGTGCTTTTCCTGCGAAAGGTTCCAAGAGTATGATGACTTGCAGACGAACGAATCGACATTGGCCGCATATCAGTGTGTGTAGTACTCACAACAGACTGGCGCTGCAGGCTCATGGATGTATACGACCGGCCATTGTTGACACCGAGTGACTTGGAACTCAGAATCAACCGGTTGAGATGCTCGATTCGCTCCTTGAGTGCGGTTCTTGCCAGCTGCATTTCCAGCATCTGCTCTTCGTGTCGTCGCTTGTCCTCGAGCTCACGGACTCGTTCTTCTTCCTTGTCCCTCTTGATGTCATCGTCTTCTACTTCTTTTTCCTTGACTTCCTTGGACTTGCCCTCGGCCAACTGCCTCTTCAGGTCTTCAATCTCAAGACGGTAGCGGTCCAGAAGAGCTCGGCTCCCCGCGTCCCCGCCAGCACCCATGGACTCGTCTGCTTTCTTGGCATGACTGACAATGTTGTTCTTGGCTCGAGATGCAAACTTGAGCGTGTTCAAGGTTTCACCTGTGTGACTGATCGCCGCTGCGGGGCTCCCGCTAGCTCCAATTTGAATTGTGCACAGAATGCTGACTAGGGAGTTACCGGAAAGCGCTGGTTGCAAGAGGCGGGTAAGCTTGCTGTCTCGGTAGGGTAAATGCTTGTCTCCTTTGCCCTTGTCCTTTTCCGACTTTTCCTTGTCCGAGGCCAGGCGACCAATGACTGTACCCAAGGTGAGTAGACTCTTGTTGATGTGAGAACCTTCAGTTCGCCTCTCCTTGCTGTCAGCTGCCTTTTCAGATCCAGCCAAATCGATAAGACTCAGTGTCGAGACACGCACACCGCCAGGAACAATGGCAGATCGCTTGTCACCGGATGCGACTGCGGGGCCGGGCGCGCGCTCTCTGCTTTCGACAACGATCTGCACCACGGCGTGACTTCGCGAACTGCGTGCATTGAATTGCGTGCCTGCCACTTTTCGAGAATTGTCTCCGCGGGCAATGACTCGTAGCAACTGGGTGGGACTCTGCACGATTTCTTCTTTGAGCGGCGTCGCATAAACACCGCGCTTGCTATCCTCGCGCAATTTAATTTCCTCAACAGGTCCAGTCTGACCATTCATGCCAACAACAGGTCCTGCCAGCAGGTCGATGATTTTTTCGTTGTAGATTTCAATATAACTGACTCGCAGGAGAAACTCGCGCTGCGGTGTCTCTCGAATGTAAGAGAAGATGTCGGTAATGGCCAATGGTATGACACCGGGGTTGGTTGCTGTTCCTTGCATCGAGAAGGTCTTTCCAGTTCCAGTCATGCCGTATGCGAAGACGGTACCGTGGTAGCCTTCCATGACTCGGCGGACAAGTCGCTTGGCTGCTGCATCGTAGACGCGTGCGTTGTTGTCTTGTGGGTCAAATACATTATCTGCGCCATGTCAGATTAGCTGAGGCCAGTCATTGTGAATGCAGGCTGTGCAACTGTACCGTAGTAGTAATCTCCACCCTCCTTGCCTCGGTAGGCTATCAATGCGCGCTTGTTGTTGACTTCCCAGTCCACGTCATGTTTTCCGTCTTTTGCTCCAACGTCCGGGCGCACGCGTACGCTGACAATAACATTGCCTTTTCCATCCTTGGGAGGCTTGCCATCTTTTGCACCGTCTTCGCCATCTTCGGCGGTAGTCGCGCTTGTTGCATATGATCCTTGTGGAGACGAGTTGCGGCTGTGTGGCGGAGATGGAAGACTGAGATGTCCAGTCTCTACGGCTACCGAGTCTGCGCTTCCGTTGAGTAGACTAGGGGAGAGGGGAGATTTGGGCAGCAAACCACGGCCACCAATGTTTGAGGCGCGAGGTTTCTTGAGACTGCTTTCGCGCGGGGGCAGCGATGATTTTCGTCCCGTCTTTGAGCCTACGCCCACGTCTCCTCCTGGTGTGCTACTCGTTGAGAGCGGGCTCGAGGGGTTTGACCTTCCGCTGTGCCTGGGTGGTTGTGGAAAGGAGCCGATGCTAACTGTCTTGCGTAGTGATTTACCAGCGGGCAGTGATGAAGCAGGACCACCCTCGTCGTGCGTCAAGCCGTTGGCAGCCTGGAGTTTTGAATTCGACAAGGACCGGTGTGGCAACGCGGACGACGAGACTGTGCGGTTGTTTGTGGCGCCGGGCAGCAGCGAAGATCGGGCGGAGGTGGGACCGACGTTTGAGTTTCTTGACTTTGCAACGGGCAGCGAAGGCAAGGGACCTGTTGGCGGCGCAATCGAGGGTCGCGAAGGGCGAGGGAGCGAGTTGCCCGACATGGTGATGGGGCGCGCCGCGTATGGAGGAGTGCTAATGCAGCTTGGGCGGCGGGAGTTGGCGCTGCACTGCTGGCGCGGTCGCCTTTGTTTTTCCAGGTAGACCTGCTACGCCACAGCACACATGTCCGTCGGACAGCCGTGACTGGGCACCAGCGCAGAAGTCGCACAGGAGGGGACAGAGAGGGGATAAGTTTTTTTTTAAAAAAAGAGCGACAAAGTGGGCAGGGGAGCGTGGGGCGTGAGGGTCAGTAGCGGATGCGGGTCGTGTCGTGGCCGTAGGCGTCGTGGGGGACTACCGACTGGCGGAGGTCTGAGCAAGAAAAGGTAGGGAGGGAGGGATGATGGAGATGGAGATGGAGATGCTGCTGCTTCTGCTTCTGCTGCTGGGCGCACGCACATACACACACACACACATACGCAGGCGCGGCGAACAAGCGGCGGCGCGTGAGGATGGCGTGGATGGATGAGGGCGAGGGCGAGGGCGAGGGGCGGCGAGGGCGGCGGCGGCAGTGACGGCAACAATAGTGTAGCAGCAGCAACAGGGAGGGATGGCAAGAGCAGACTCAGGGTCTCAGCGAGGTCTCGCTCTCTCTTTCGCAGGCCTGCGCAACGGGTCCTGCGTGGTGGGGAAAAAGGAGCGCTGGTGAGTGGTCGGCTGGTCGCCGAGAAGCCCAAGCGTGGCCGTCCCCTGGCAGGCGGAAGTGAACAAGAGCGAGTGTGTGGGCGTGTATGGGTGGATGGATGGGTGTGTGTGGATGTGTGGGTGGGTGCAGGGGCCCGAGGAGCCACCGACCGACAAAACCTCCGCCCGCTAACTACAGGAACGAGTGGGTGAGGGAGCGAGCGAGCGAGGGCGGCCCCGTGTAGCCTAAGTGCCTGCTATCTGATTGCAGCGTATAGGCGTGGGTACGTACGTATCTCGAGCGCTGTGTGGGCTGGGCTGGGCGGGTGTGTGCAAGTCTGTACAACAGCAGCCAGAAGACGGTGGCATTGGGATTGGGTGCTGGCAGGCGACTTTGATGGCTATGTATGCGCCTGAGGTACTCGCGACAGTGACAGGCACAACAGCAAAGCAGCAAAGCAGCAAGCAGTAGCCACCACGACGGCCGCTATCAATTCGCTCCCATCAGGCCGCTCCCCTGCAAAAAGGGGCAAGGCTTCACATCTCCATGTTGAAGCCAGCACCCGCATCCATGCTGGCTCAGCCGACTAAAGACGTTAGGCCTCACGCCAACCAACCGTCTATCCCCATCCGTCATCGAGCCCTGCCACCAGCCAGGCTGTGTCAGGTAAGCACCCTCACCCTCACACTGCACACTGCACACACATACTCGCCTATCATCCCGGGCCCGGCTTCATGCAGCCCGCCCTGGTCTCGACATGTAAGTAAGTAAGTAAGTAAGTACTTGCGCAGCCATATCCAGCAATCGCTATCTGAACTTGCTTACTACCACATACACTGTACTTACGCACCACACTCTACCGCTTCTCGTCCCCTGCCCTGCTCTGCTCTGCTCTGCTCTGCTCTGCTCTGCTCTGCTCTGCCCTGTCCTGCCCTACCCTGTCCAGTCCTGTCCTGCCCTGCAAGTGCCGGCTTGCGTCGAGGCTATTTGCAGACATGACGTCTCGGAGATGATGTTTTGCTGATCGCTTCCCAGTACCACGCCCTCATGCCGCACATGTCTCTTTGTCAAGACGTTTATGCCCTCCATCTGTAGCACGCCGGCTCTTGATCCCGGCTGCATGTTGTTGTCTCTGGCTGCTTTTCATGTGCTGCTTCGCATGCGCTGCAATCTCCGCGTCGCAAAGTCAATGGTGATCCCAGCGGCCTCTCCGTAATCTGGCTCGTCCAATCACGCCCCCTTCACCCTCGCAGCCTCGTATGTCAAAGGAACGCCTTGCTCTCTTTGATGCTGCCGCCAAGCAAAGCCTCATCTTGCTCCCCCACTGCCCCCTATGTGCCTTGCCTTTAGCCTGACCAAAAGAGAGGCTGACTGTAACTGTCATCCTCCCACCATCGCTACACCTGCACCATTGCATTCACTGCCCAGGCACACATTGGTGGGGGAACTGGCTCTTCGCTAGGGCCAAACCGAGGCCCCCCGTCTCCACCCGAATCGTGGAGACGCTCGTCTCTGTGCTCTTTTTCGGAACATTATCGACACCGGCATTTAGATCCAGCTACTCGTGAAACACGCAAGAGTGCCACCCAGAGGCCACTGCATTCGGCTGCTGCCGACCATGTCAACACCGCCTATAAAAATAACCCCCTTCCTAGGCCAGCCCTGCCGTCCACCATTGTCTCGTCTTGTCTCGTCTCGTGGGTACTGGCATTCTAGAAGCAAACTAACCTTCCTTCTACAGTGTGCCCCATCCAAACAAGTCCCTTCCAAGCTTGGTAATGACCAGGTACTGCATCTGCCATAGCCCAAGATCCACGGCCAGTTCCAACGCGCCACACAGCGCTACCCTCAACATCTGCCTGCTAATCCCTACCAAACTCAGGTCACTACCGATCTCTAGTGAGCTAATCATGCGGTGCGGGCCTCCCTGCTGTCCTTGGCCCGACAGATAGTGCAAGGCTATCGTTTGCAGCGTCAGCATGCGAATGGGGAGCATCGCAAGCCCGACAAGCTGAGCCCGCACCATGGCTCCAATCATTTGAGCTGGCTCGCACGACAGTTGTGTCACACGATGATACCTCTCCTTCTCCCACGAGTCAACTGCATCCACCCACTCCCTCCTTCTGCCCTCTTGTGGAGATCCAAACGTTTCTGCAATCTCGCTATGACTAGACAGCGTCCTCGGTGGAAGTCGGACTTCCATCTCCACAATGCCTTCTCGCGATGTGATTCGTATCCGCGGGTCATTCTCCTCCTCTTCGGAGTCTGCTGTCGAGCCTGGCGGGCTTGTAGAACGCATCAGCTCATCAACTGCGCTCACTGGTATGGTAATCACATCCGCCTCCAACGGCTCGTTTGCCCGCCGATCCTGTGTTTGAACAACGGGTAGACTGAGTGGGGTGGCGTTCGTAACCCGCGTACCACCAACATGTATTGTCTGGACATCGCTCGTATCTCGTGTCGAGTTCACGCCGACCGTTTGTTTCCGTTCTGTGCTCGAGGGTGCAAGTGGAGAAGCCCACCCCAGCATCCAAAGTATCTTGTGGATGCCATTGCGGATCAGCCGAGGTGACTCCCGTCGTAGCCCCAGCACAGTCAACGCCCGGTCTTTCCCATTGACATCCCGACTGGCTGTGTCAGGCTTGTCGGGGCGAATGATGGATGATTCCACAGCTTCGTACACACAGGCATAAACCCAGCGCTCAAGTATATGTTCGGAGCACAGAATGATCGCGGGCGAGAAGAAGAAAACTGTGAAACGATCCGCGAATGAATTGGTGGCATGATGAGGCAAGTAGGCTGGTAGTAGTGGTGATGACAGTGCAAACGGAATTAGAGTTCGCCATGAGGGAAGGAGTGGTCGAGCAGGTACTAGGCCCAAGCGCTGCAGCGCAGCGTGGTAGTAAAACGGGCAACAGAGAATCTCAAGGCCAATGCGGAGGCTGTTCGGTGTAAGCAATCATTCGATCTCGAGACATGTGGGTCAAACCTTGCACTTATTAGTCTCCTTGTTCGGCGGAACACATTGCGTGTCCTTGCACTTGCCCGTGTTGCATGAAGCAAGCGTTCAATCGGCTGATACATGAACACGCTGTATATAGCAGTTTGGATATTCAGAGCGGCAAACACCCGGGGAGCAAAGCCTGCATACATGATTGAGGTCCCTGATAATGCGCACTCAGAACTAATAATTTGACTAAATGTCAGGCCATGGTGATATCGAAATGTCTGTGGGTGTCAGCAGTGGCCTGTTGCAGACGGAACGAATCGATCATACCAGCAACCTATCTCGGATGGTACCCATCCACCATGTGCAAATATTTTCTGCAAACGTCGTGGCCAAAGCGACGGCATTGCCTATGGTATCCTCAGCCTCGAGCATTTGGAGGCGCTCTTCGCTTGAACCAGGTAGTCCCTCTGCGGGCGAGCGTCTTCTTTCTACTACGCCCACTGATGCAAGCACGTCATTCTGAGCGCCTCTCAGCTTCTTGCCATACTGGTGGGAGCGCGGGTTGATGGGGTTTCCGCGCTCATCGTAAAGCTGCATGTAGTTGTTCGCAGTGGCCTCATGGTACCGCGCAGGAATCTCAGACTGCGCCGATTCGAGCTGCACATACTCTGAAGACTGCGAAGCGCGAGATGTGGGCTCAAATGCAGAGCGCCCCTGTTATGTTCATCAGACATTGCTTGCGCAGCCTGTTCTGGTGGGGTCTATACAAATGCTATCTTATCCAGGTAGGCTTGTCGGCCCATGGTGGGGGGATGTAAGTGGCTGCTACTGTGTGCAGGTAATGAATGAAACTATCGCTCCTTGGAAATACACACTGGCGGACATGTTGGGTGGTGAATGCATGGCCAACATTGTCGTTGGAGGCCGAGTACTCGACTGAGACAGACGCGCTTGCGCCAAACGTCAGTGCAAGCGCAAGCGCGTGGTTGCGACGGCTCTTATCGATAAACTTTTTTCCATCTTCAACTTTCGCGACATGTCTCATCCACAACCTCCAAGAGCCTTGACGCCACCAATTCCTACACCAACATGGCGGCGCAAAGAACTGCTGTGAAGACCACCTACGATGTCGGCCGTACCTTGCAACCCATTTACTCGGGAGGCAGTTTGGCATTGAGCCAGGACGGGCGCATCCTGGCTGCTAGCTTGGGTGAAGATGTTCTTCTCACCGACCTCACAAACGGACAAGAGCTGGCAAGAGCCGAGGGCGACGGCGAGGCAATCACAGCATTGACTCGTAAGTAATATCTCCAGCTGTAGCAACGGTCACTAACATGTGCCAGTAACGCCTTCTGCCTCGCATCTCATTGTATGCTCGCGATCACTGTCCATGCGCCTATTCTCTATCAACCCTTCTGAAAATGGGGATGACGCCATCGAGCTCCAACTTGTCCGCACCCTTCGACCGCATACGTCACCTGTAGTCACTTTGGCCACAGATCGCACAGGAACGCTGCTGGCAACCGGAGGCGCAGATGGTATTGTCAAAGTCTGGGACATCCGTGGCGGCTACACCACCCACGCTTTTCATGGACATGGCGGGGTTGTTTCCGCGCTTCATTTCTTTGAGGTTGAGGTGGCTGAGCGGGAAGACGCATCTGAGAACAATAAAAAGCGGAAGAGGAAGTCAAAACAAGAAGGTGCTGAGGCCGAACAAGCTCAGGGCGAAAGTCAAATACAGTTCCGACTGGCTTCGGGTGCCGAGGATGGAAAAATTAGAATCTGGGATTTGCACAAGAGGAAGAGCGCCGCCATATTAGATTCGCACGTTTCCGTGGTTCGATCGCTGCAGTATTCACCGCAGGAAAAGCTGCTCCTCTCTGGCAGCAGAGACAAGACTCTGATTGCATGGAATTCGAACAGGTGGAAGGCGCAACGCACCATTGCTGCACTTGAAGGAATCGAGAGCGCCGGTTTTGTTGCAGACGGAAAGATTCTGTACTCTGGCGGAGAAAATGGCAGAGTACGACTTTGGTCGACATCAAGCGGACGAGAACTCACAGCAGAGCAAGAGCCTGGCATAGAAACGGATGAGATTGTCAACATTCTCCACTACCCAACCCTGCCCTACCTGATTTCAGTACATGCTGACCAGGTACTCAACTTCCACTCTCTCAAATCTACCGAATCCCTTGTCGTCGAGGAGACGATTGATCCCCTACCAGTCTTTCGGCGGGTCTCCGGAACGTATGACGAAGTGATTGACATCGCGTACGTTGGCCGTGACAAATCATTGCTGGCATTGAACACCAACTCCGAGGACATTCGCATCATCACATTGAACGAGTCAGAAGGAGACGACGCAACAGAAGGACGGTACTTTGGCGCAGACGTGGGACTACTAAAAGGCCATGATGATATTGTCATCTGTCTAGATGTGGATTGGTCGGGACATTGGCTCGTCACAGGTGCAAAGGACAACACAGCCCGGCTATGGCGACTAGACCCCGAACACGGATCATACACTTGTGCAGCAGTTTTGACTGGGCACGCTGAATCGCTGGGTGCGATTGCGTTACCTCATACAGTGCCTCAGGAGTCGTCTGCTGCGTTCACAGATCCGCTATCACACCCCCCGGCATACATTGTAACAGGATCCCAGGACCGGACCGTTAAGCGATGGGACACGACTAAAGAGATGAAGGGAAAGCTACGAGCAAAGTATACTCGTAAGGCACACGACAAGGATATCAACGCAATTGACATTGATCCGTCTGGGACTTTGTTCGCTTCTGCGTCACAGGACCGTACAGTCAAGATCTACTCGGCTGCTGAAGGAGAAGCAATTGGTGTCCTTCGAGGTCACCGTCGTGGTGTCTGGAGCGTCAAGTTTGCACCAAAAGACTCACAGGCCCCGAATTCAAGTGGCAAGGGCTTGATTGCAACTGGCAGTGGAGACAAGACGGTCAAGATCTGGAGTCTGGCAGACTACAGCTGTCTTTTGACTCTCGAAGGCCACTCTAACAGCGTTCTAAAGCTCGCATGGCTCCCATACCGTCCAGTTGATGCACGAGACAAACGAGGTCCGCAAGTCGCCTCCGCAGCCGGTGACGGCCTGGTCAAGATCTGGGACTCCACCTCCGGCGAGACAATGTCCACGCTCGACAACCACACCGACCGCGTCTGGGCCCTCGTCGCCCACCCGCAAACCGGCGCCCTCGTCTCTGGTGGCGGCGACAGCGTCATAACCTTCTGGCGCGACACGACGAGCACCACGCTCGAAGCCGCCACAACCGCCGAAACCGAGCGCATCGAACTCGACCAGAAACTCCAAAACTATGCCTACGCAGGAAACTACCGCGACGCCATCGTCCTCGCCCTCCAAATGGACCAGCCCGCCCGCCTCTTCTCCCTCTTCAAATCAGTCGTCGAATCCGATACTCCTGACCCAGACTCCCTATCTGGTCTCAACTCTGTAGATGCAGTCCTCGCTTCCCTCGCCGACGAACAACTCTACAAACTCCTCCTCCGCCTCCGCGACTGGAACACCAACGTCCGCACCGCCCCCATCGCCCAGAAGATTCTACACACGATTGTCAAATCCTATCCTGCTTCGCGGCTTGCGGCCTTGAAGCCTCAGGGGAAAGTTGCCGCAAAGGGGAGTCTGAAGGATGTGCTCGACGCCATCAAGGTGTATTCAGAACGCCATTACAGGCGGGTGGAGGAGTTGGTGGATGAGAGTTATTTGCTTGATTTTACCTTGAGGGAGATGGATGAAGTGGGGGGTGTCAGTGATGCAGTTGCGGGATTGGGACTAGGAGCGAGGGAAAGGGATGTTGTCATGGTAGAATAAAAAAAAACCCTCTGTACATTTGAATAAATGAAGTTCTTTTTTCTCTCTCTCTCTTTCTTTCATTTCTTCTTCTTCTTGTTTTTCTTTCTATCATTATAATGTTCCTATTTCTTCTTCTTTCTTCATGTAACTTTATCGTACATGTCCCTCCCTTTCCCTCCCTAGAAGTCGGTATTCCACACAGAAAAAACAAAACAAAACATTACTCACTTCCTCCGTCCAGCCTGCCCCTTCCTCCTCTCCCAAACCATCAAATACGCCTCTTTGGTAAACAGCGTCTCAGCCCTCTCCTTCTCGACAAACAAATCCTGGATCCCATACCACTCCTCCCTGGCGCGATCCTTGACTTGGACGCGCCAAATTTTGCTTTCGAGCTCGCCCTCCACACTATCGTCTTTCTTCTTGACCGCCTCGTGCGTGATGTTGGCTACGAGATCGTACCAGATGGGTTCTCCGGGGGGGTATTCTGTGGGGTTGGGTTCGACGTATGGAGACATGTCGAGGGAGTGTACGGGGAAGGTGACGATGGTGGGGTTGCGTTCGGCTACGAATTTGTTTTTTGAGAAGCGTTTGATGTTGAAGAGTAGATATGGGGGTAAGGGGTGCAGTAAACGGTATCGGACGCGGTTTTTTGATTTCTCTTGCGGGGTCACGCCGTTGTATTTGGAGAGGATGTTTACGAGGGGGACTTGAGGGATTATGTTTTTCTCAATTGCGTCTTGGAAGAGGGGCGCGGCGGGGAGGTCGAGGGTTAGGACGAGGAAGTGCGAGGTTGTTGTTTGGACGGCTGCGTCTTCGAAGCGGAGGCGGTCGCCGGCGTCGGCGCGGGCGGTGATTTCTTGTTGTTCGATCTTGAGGGTGCCTTGGAAGACTTTTTGGATGATGGAGCTGTGGGGTTTTGTGCGGGAGCCGCCGACGGCGAGGTGGAGGTTGTTGAGGAACCAGGAGAGGAAGTCGACGGGGTCGGATTGATCGGTTAGGGTAAAGCGTTTGGAGGAGCGGAGGGCGATTTCTTGGAGCAGCTCATGCGGAGAGACGTGGGTTTTGAAGGCGCGGGGGTTCCAGATTTTGCGGACGAGGGTGCTAAAGCGTTGGGCGAGCTGCGGGCGGGATGAGAGGTCTTCCAGCATGAAGTAGTTGCGCAGTGGGACGACGTGGGAGAGGGCTTGTATTACTACGTTGAAGTAGTCGTTTGCCTTGATGTTGTTCATGCCCACAAAGCCTGGTATGTATTCACGATTTGACAGATCCCACGACACTTTTGGCTCCTTGTCCAACTTCGCTACCTCCTCCTTGCTCATGCGCGGGTCCACGACAAACTTGATGTCGTCTAGCGACTTGGACGTCACTTCATAGCCCTCTGGAAGCACATAGACCTTCTTCGTCTCCATGTTGACGTATACGTGGTGTCCCTCTTCCAGCGCATGAAAGTATGCTTGTGACTTTGGCCCTCGACCTTGGTAGTATTTCCCACACACGAGACAGGCGTATACGTTGATGTTGGACAGTGTGACGGAGCATAGCTTTTCAAAGTCAAAGTCGAGGACCTTGCGGTTTATCGTGTCAAGGTAAAGATCGGTGTATTCAGCTTCTGGCGCAATCTGACGTTTTGGCGCAGCGACTGCGGGCTCGTCACCATCTTCGTCGTCCAATGCACCGGCTTCTTCAAGCTCCTCGTGCTCCTCGGCGTCTGCGCCTACAATGTCTATCTTGTCTTGGTCTTGCGGTCGGGGAGCCATGAGGTGGCCATTGCTAGTCGCGCCGTTCGTATCGGAGTCTTCCATCTCTTCATCCTCGACTTTCGGGCGCTTCATAGCTGGCGACGGCGCGTCGTACATTTCCTCGAGAGGCTCCAGGGCCGGTCGCTTTGACATTTTGCGCAGGTGCGATATCGCAGGAATTCAAGGTATAAAAAGAGATTGTGGGTCTATACAAGACTATGCAAGCGGAATCACCACGATTTCCAGGTGGTTTGATGTTGTGCAGTTAAGGTGGTAATAGGCATTCACAAGTCACGGACCCCGGTGGAACCATTGGCCGGGGAAGCTCCGCGCAAACACCGCAAACACAGCTTCAACGCGGGCAAGACTAGAAAAAAGTCGCGTCCAGGCACACCCAGCCGACAACCCCACACCTTCTGAGATACCCCTCTTTGCTTGCCTAGGAATTCCAGAAAGATGGTATGAATGCCTGAATTTTCTCACAAAACAATAAACAACGACCGTAGTGGCTGACAAGACATGTAGTCGAACCCCACTCAGATCTTTGCGGACGACGTAACGGAGGAGAAGGGCGAGAATGCGCGCCTCTCTGCCTTTGTAGGCGCCATCGCTGTTGGAGACTTGGTCAAGAGCACATTGGGCCCCAAGGGCATGGACAAGATAATGCAGTCTGCGTAAGTGAAGATTGCCCCGCTCCCACTTGGAGGCCCCAACTGACATGCCTGGAAAGTTCGACCGGAGAGATCATGGTCACAAACGACGGTGCTACCATTCTCAAAGCGATTGCCCTCGACAATGCCGCCGCAAAAGTACTGGTTAACATTTCAAAAGTGCAGGATGACGAAGTCGGTGACGGAACCACGTCAGTCACTGTCCTTGCCGCCGAACTGCTGCGGGAGGCGGAGAAGTTGGTCGACCAGAAGATCCACCCCCAGACTATCATCGAAGGATACAGGATAGCAAGCAGTGCGGCGCTCAAGGCACTGGAGAAGATTGCCGTGGACCACAGCAATGACGAGCAAGAATTCCGAAAAGATCTCGAGGCCATTGCCCGCACAACGCTGAGCTCCAAGGTGCTCTCGCAGGACCGCACACAGTTTGCCAAGCTCGCCGTAGACGCTGTGCTCAAGCTCGGAGGCTCGACGGACCTGACACACATCCAGATCATCAAGAAGGCTGGAGGAAAGCTAAAGGACTCGTACCTGGATGAGGGATTCATTCTGGACAAGAAGTTTGGCGTGAACCAGCCCAAGCGGATAGAGAACGCAAAGATTCTGGTTGCAAACACGGCCATGGACACGGACAAGATCAAGATTTTTGGAGCGCGAGTCAAGGTGGATTCAACGGGCAAGCTTGCCGAATTGGAGAAGGCTGAGCGTGAGAAGATGAAGGCCAAGGTGGAGCGTATCAAGGCACACGGCATCAACTGCTTTGTCAACCGACAGCTCATCTACAACTGGCCAGAGCAGCTGTTTGCGGATGCTGGCATCTGCTCGATTGAGCACGCAGACTTTGACGGCATTGAGCGACTAGCTCTGGTCACTGGCGGAGAGATTACCTCTACTTTCGACCACCCTGAGAATGTTAAGCTCGGCTACTGCGATGTTGTCGAGGAGGTGATAATTGGAGAGGATGTGTTGATCAAGTTCTCGGGCACCAAGGCGGGACGGGCATGCACTATTGTGCTGCGTGGTGCGACCGAACAGCTTTTAGATGAGGCAGAGCGATCGTTACACGATGCTCTTGCCGTACTGTCACAAACGGTCAAGGAACCCCGGACAACGTTGGGCGGTGGCTGCGCCGAGATGAACATGGCAAAGGCAGTGGCGGAGGCGGCACAAAATGTGGCTGGCAAGAAGGCAATTGCCGTCGAATCGTTTTCCAAGGCACTGCAACAACTACCCACGATCCTGGCCGACAATGCCGGATTCGACTCGAGCGACCTGGTCACGCGACTCCGGAAAGCCGTCTACTCGGGCCTGACCAGCTCGGGTCTAGACTTGCTGTCACCGGGAGGTGGCATTGCGGACATGAGGGAGCTGGGTGTGATTGAAAGCTACAAGCTGAAGCGAGCAGTGGTATCGTCGGCCTCGGAAGCCGCAGAGGTGAGTGAATTGATAGAAGATGTGGTTGTGAGATGTAGACTAACTTTTGACAGCTACTACTGCGAGTTGACAACATTATCCGAAGCGCACCACGACGACGCGATCGTATGTAAAGGGGAGGCGACAGGACGTTATGAAGCAATGGAATCACGGGCACAAGATCAAGTGTATATTACAGAGCAAGATGAATGCAGCCAGAGCCTCAGGCGCCTGAACGGTTGTTCCGTGCCTTGTGCGTGTGTGTGTGTCAGATTGTGGGTAGTGACTAGTACCGAAGGACTTGGTGGCCGCACAAGGCGTGACGCATGTAATACGGGCGGTTCCTGTTTGCATGGTGCAGCAGGGGGGGCGTCGGAGTTGATGCATGTGCCATTGATTGATTGAGTGATATGGAGTATTTGTATATTGTGTGATGGGGCGAGGGGGTGTGGCATTGTGGTTGACGGACGCAGGTAACGCGACTCAGTCGACCTTCTAGATGATTCAGTCCAGAGGGACATGTCACGTGATGGAGGGCGGTGGAGCGGGCGGTGGGGGTTCGGCGCTGACATGTGTTTCATCTCCGTGTCTCGCCATTACCGCAAAGACACACCTAAGCACCGAAACAGGAAACTCTCTTCGGACACACTGATATTTTCTCAACGGTTACTTTGGTCACGGCAAATCTAAATATGGTCGCACAACTGTGACGGCCGGCAGGGAAGAGCAGGGCAGGTTGAGCGTGTGCGGTCTGGCGTACGGACTCTGCGTGTGCTTGGGATTTGGCGGTTGGGTGTGTAGTGTGCAAGTGTGGTGTGGTGCGGGGCGGGGCGGGAGGGATACAGTTCACCTACTGCGCCACCATGGCCGTCTGGGTCTGGGTGGATGCGTGCTTTGGTTTTGGCTCCGGTGGCATGCATCCTGGCGTCGTGGGCTGGCTGGTGGGCAATGGCCGCCCATGGCATGAGCATGCAGCCGTGTGCCTGTGTGTCTCCATGTCATGTCTGCAGGCCCAGGGCCGCCGTTGCTGTTGCTGCCCCAGCCAAGAAGCATCATCGCAAGGAACGGACATGGATGGAATGGGATGACCCGTCGCCTTCGGTCCCTGCGTTGGGGAGTGGATGGATGTGGATGGGCGGTGGCGGCCAAAACGAGGAAAACGGGCGAGTGTGTGGACAAGGAGTCTAAGTGCTAGCAGCAGTGACGGGTGGGCTGACGAGGCCCCGACTGGACCCCAGCTTACGGCGCCCACGCTCAGCTGCAGCAGGCGAGTCCCCCCCCCCCCGCGAGGCCTTAATATCGTCCTAAATTCGCTGCCATGGGCGTCTTTTCCCGTTCCTCTTCTGATCCAGCCATCCCCCCATCACTGCTTGCGGATGCTCCATCTCTCTCGCCCTCGCTGCCTGCCCAAGGCTACTCACTGATACCCATACACACCCGCAATGCCGCGTCCGCGCCGGCCGCCTGGTGCTGGCTCGGCGCTCACCACTCTCGCCCTCCTGCTCCTCGCCGGACTTGTGGCCGCTCAGCAGCAGCAACCACAACAACCACAACCACAACCACAACAGCAACAACCAATACCACTGCCTCCCCCACGCCTTGGACATCACGTCCCCAGCGGAGCTCCCCGCCCCGCCCTCCATGTAGAACACGCTCCCATCATCAATCCCAAGCCCAACCACAAACACGCTAAACCCGCCAACAAGAACGCGGTAGTTGATGCTCCGCGTCGGAGACCCCACTCATCCCTTCATAGCCAGAACGTGCGCGCCCTAGCAACCAGAGTTCCTTCTGCTCCAGCCATCAGTGCTGTCAGAGCCGATCCCGCCAGATATGCAGCCTCGGGGGGCTTAGTCCCCGGTGCGCGCTCTCTGCAGGATTGGGAAGTTGAGGACTTTGTTCTCTTGGCGACCGTCGACGGCCACATACACGCACGCGACCGATACAATGGCGAGGAGATTTGGGAGCTGAGCGGGAGGCCCATGTTGGAAACCATCTACAACTCATCGGGCGGCAGTGTCGACCCCCAGGACCAACCCTTTGTATGGATCGTGGAGCCGCGAGAAGATGGTGCCCTCTACCTCCTCTCCCCAGGGCCCTATCCCCATCTTCAACACCTGGGCGTCACGGTCAAGCAATTGGCCGAAAACGCACCTTATTCGAGCGATGATCCGGAGCTTCCGGTCGTGTACAACGTCGAGAAGAAGACGTTCATGTTACTTGTAGATGCAGCCTCTGGTATAGTCAAGCAGAGCTTCAGTCCTGGCGGAACCTTTCCCCACGACGACAGTTGTGCCCCAGAGTCGAGAAACTACTTTAGCGCGCGAGAACGTGACTGCCGCGGGGTCATCGACATTGGTCAGACCCAGTACACCATCACCATTCACAACAAAAAGACCAACGAGCACATTTGCACGCTCAAGTACGCAGAGTGGAACCCCAACAGTCGTGACAGAGATTTGCAATCGCAGTACGACCAGACGTTGGACAAGCAGTACATCTACACCACATACAACGGTGAAGTCATTGCCTTTGACTACAAGCGTCCAAGGTCACACCAGCGCCCCCTGTACAGGCAGCGCCTGCCGTTCCCAGTTGCACGCGTCTTTGATGTTGCTCGTCCTTCAAACGACCAATCCTCTGACCCACCGTTGGTCCTTCTGCCCCAGCCTGCGGGGCCTGTATTTTCAGAGGACAAGGCCAATCATGTCCTCCTCAACACGACCGACTCAGGAGCGTGGTATGCACTGTCAGAAGTCAACTACCCTGCCGTGACAGACGGTGCCCCAGACGCAAGTTGCTACAAGCAGAATCAGGTTGCATACGATTGGGACGCGGCCTACGCCTTGCCAGACAAGAAGAGCCTCATTGGTGTCCACAGACTCGACTACAAGGTTCCTGACATGCCAACTCAGCTGCTGGGCATTCCTGCACCAACCTTCTATGACTCTGTGAATGATCAGGTCATCTCCAACCCACCGGAAACTTCTCCAAGGGAGCATCACCAGCCGCCAAGCATTGATGCCCCGCCGCAGGCTGAAGTCGTGGCACGCTCAGTCAATGTCTACATATACATTGTACTTGCCATCTGCCTATTTGGCGGTGTCGGGGCTTCTATCAAGCCTACGATGGTTGAGTCCTGCCTGAGCTACCTCAAGCAGGTAGTCCATGCAGGCAACAAGACTAAACAGCCTCTTCCGCCATTCCACGCTTCTCCAGAACCTGAGGTCAAGCTGAGCGAAGAAAAGCTTTTGGTTGTTCCACATGCAGATGATCCTGTTCCAGAGAAGCCAGTTGAGACCGCTGAGAAAGACCAAAACGAGCTACCTGCATTGGAGGAGCTCAAGGAGAAGAAGGTCGTCACCTTTGCCGTACCAAGTGATGAAGAGGAAGATCTTGCGTCCCTCTCGAGGACTACAACTGTTGAACAAGGCTCTCCAATCTCGGATGAAGCTGCTCCGCTGGAAGTGAAGCTCAATGGCGATGCTGAAGCAATGACGAACAGCTCCGAAGACGTCTCGCAAGACCCCACGGCCGCACCGGCTACTCCGAAGAAGAAGAAGACACATCGGGGTAGAAGGGGCGGCCGCAAGCTGAGTAAGAATCAGCAAAAGGAGGAAGATGAGGTCAACCGGATTGTGAACGCAGCCAAACAGCTCGAGGTCGGCCCTCGTCTGCATCCAGATGAACTCACTGTGAGTGGGGGTGACGTGCAAAACATCTCTGAGATCAAACGCATCGGCAAGCTTACCATTGACCAAGACCGACTATTGGGCAATGGAAGTGGTGGTACATTCGTCTTTGAAGGAAAATGGAAGGTATGTTGTTGCCGTCGGTCTTTCACCGTCTTCTTATTTTAACACTGCTCTAGGAAGTCAAGGTCGCCGTCAAGCGCATGTTGCCTCAATACTTTGGGCTTGCAGAACAAGAGGTCAAGCTTCTACAGAACAGTGACCCCCATCCGAACGTTATCCGCTACTTTGACGATGAACGCGACGAAAACTTTCTCTACATCGCCGTCGAACTCTGCCAGGCTAGTCTCTTCGATCTGTACAAGGATGGGCGGCCTGGAGAGGAGCTCAGCGAGGAACATCAGCGTCTGGTCAACAAGATTAGCAAGAAGGCTTCGTCCTGCTTGTACCAGCTCGCTGCCGGTTTGAATCACCTGCACCATCTCCGCATCATTCATCGCGACATCAAGCCTCAAAACATTCTCGTTGCACAGCCTCTCATCACCTCCAAGGATGACGTACGGCTGGTGATTTCTGACTTTGGGCTCTGTAAGACTCTGCCCGACAACGTTAGTACTCTTGTCGGTACAACTGGCAACGCAGGCACCGTCGGCTGGAAAGCACCAGAGCTCATTTCGCAGCCTAAGGAGCTGGTCAATGGAAGTTCTCAAGGCTTTTCTCGCGACTCATCCAGCTCGACAGATCCAGTCGCACAGGGCGTGAAGCGGGCCGTCGACATCTTCTCTTTGGGCTGTGTCTTCTACTACGTACTTACCGGTGGCTGCCACCCATTTGACGACGAAGAAGGCTGGATGCAGATTCGCGAGTACAACATCAAGAAGGAAAAGTCCAACCTAGACCGCCTTCTTCTTGGTGCCGATTCTGTGGAGCCACATCACCTCATCCAATGGATGCTTCGGCCACGTCCTGAATCTCGTCCAACAGCCCTCCAAGTCATGAATCATCCCTTCTTCTGGGACGACCAGAAGCGACTTGACTTCTTGTGTGACTGTTCTGATCACTGGGAGCGGGAGCCTCGCGACCCACCGTCGGAGCATCTCTCGCAGCTTGAAGAATACGCTCAGGATGTCCTTGACCATCGTCGCAACTTCCTCGCCAAGCTGGATCCAGGCTTTGTCAACTCGCTGGGTAAGCAACGCAAGTACACGGGCGATCGTATGCTCGACTTGTTGCGAGCACTGCGTAACAAGAAGAACCACTACGAGGATATGGAAGAATCGATCAAGGCCAAGGTTGGGCCACTGCCGAGTGGATATCTAAAGTACTGGACTGTCAAGTTCCCCCAGTTGCTCATGAGCTGCTATGAAGCGGTGTTGTCGTGTGATTTGGAGAATGAGCCTCGATTCAAGAAGTATTTTGAGGGTGCCAAGTAGGAGTTTGGGGGAGGTGTTGGCTTGGTGTACTAGGTCATTATTCCAATTGAATGTATTGAGATGTTGAGATTGAAAAAAATAAAATTGATTTAATCGCTCAAAAATGCTGGGTGTTTGTTCATGATGCTGTGCAGTGCCTTGAATGCTTTTGGCCACCGTGGATGGTAATGTCGTTCCATTATGATTATTATTATTATTGTTTTACTTCCTCCTCATCGCACTCCCCTCCATGTCCCCCAAACTCGCCGTCACCATCTCTGGATTCCGCTCCAAAACCTCCTGCACCCTCGTCTCAAACGCCCTAACCATGTATTCGGCGACCTTGGGCGCCACACCCCCACTCAACGCCGCATACATGGGATTCGCAAACGAAAACTCCACCACCAGACTCACTCGTGTGTGCGCCTCGCGTACCGGCTCGACTTGCCATTTACTGCGTAGATATGTCAGGAGTCCATTGCTTCCCTCTCTCGTCCCCCCCTTCCGCTGCTCGGTTCCTGCTTGGGCAAAATGATGCGCCACCTCGCGCGCATCCAACGACGTCTCTGCCTCGCCGCCCACACTCTCGACCCACCGGCCGGGTACACAATAGATGCGACTTGCGAAGCTCTCGGTGATGGCGCCGAAGCCCGTTGTTATGACACCTTCCGAGGGCCAGCGCCGGTTGTAGTGGCGGTCTGGCGCGGACCATTTGGAGACGGTGCTGTGGGCGCAGTAGGGGAGGAAGGACGAGTAGGATGGGACGTCGGCGATGATGGAGTAGACGGGCGAGGGGGGGTAGGGGAGCGTGCGGGTTGCGGTTAGGATTTGAGGGGTGGAAGGGGAAGGGGAGAGGGAGGAGAAGGGGTTGGGGAGGAAGGTGCGGCGTTGGGTTGTTGTGAGGTGGTGGTGGTGTGATGATGATGGTTGGAGGAGGGGACGGGCGAGTTTGAGTGGTGGCATTTCTTTTTTTTTTTTTAGTTTCGGAGGTGGTGATTATCTCGATTTCATAGCGGGGGTTTTTTTTCAGGCGTCTTTTTTTCGAAGCGATGGTTGGGAGTTTGAGAAGTGTGGTGGGTGATTGTTGTGGTGATGGGGGAGGAAATGTAAGAAAGTCGCGCGCTAAGGTGTTGCGGCTCTACGTCCCCATGACGCTATGTGGCTATCATGTCAGGGACGGGTTGCTGTTGCGGCTGCGCTAGGCTGGACTGGGGGGATGCTAGCGTGGGAAATTTCGCGTGCATCGATGGAGGGGGGGCGAAGCGAGTGAGTGCCCCTCTAAGAATTCCTGGTCCCCTCTCCCCGCATATATACGCGACAGAACGCAACTTTCCCAACGACACAATGGCTGCTGATATGGATGCGACGAAGGGGCTGGAGAAGGATGTAGGGGTCAGCGCGGATTCGGTTCAATCCAGCGACGCAAGATTTCAGACGGACAACAGCGTGTCGAAGAAACCGCAGCCTCGACAACAATTATCAAAAGCCATGGAGCACATGCGCTTCGCAGTCACTGCCGACCCCATTCCACACTCCGCTTCTACACGACCACCACAGCCCGAAACCACAGACTCCGCGCAAGACCCTTCATCCACTTCCACCGAACAACAACAACAAACCCCAGCCGAAAACGACGCCTACGGCGTCCCCGCCTCCTTCGCCCCGATCCGCGCTCCCCAATCCCGCTCGCACGACCCGACCAACAACCAAAAACGCAGCGATCCCTTCGCCTTCGGCTCCCGCTACCTCGAGGAAGGCGACGACATTTTCGAATTCAACGCCTGGGACCACGTCACTGTCGACTCCACCTACCTCGCCTTCTCCGAAGAGCAATATTCCAAACAGCGTTCCGAACCTGTTTCGGACTTTGACCGCTCGCGCTACAACGCACAGCCTGAGAAGTGGTGGAACCAGTTTTACAAGAACAACAAGACGAATTTTTTCAAGAATCGTAAATGGTTGGCGCAGGAGTTTCCGATACTGGAGGAATTGGGCAAGGAGGGCGGCCCAGAGGCGACGCTGTTGGAAGTGGGCGCTGGGGCAGGGAATAGTGCGTTTCCTATCTTGCAGAAAAGTAGGAATGAGAGGTTGAAGATTCATGCGTGTGATTTTTCAAAGAAGGCGGTCGAGTTGATTAGGAATCATGAACTTTACGATCCAGCGCGTATCCAGGCGGATGTATGGGACGTCGCGTCCCCTTCTACCGCTGAAAATGGGGGCTTACCGCCTGGTCTGGCGGAAAACAGTGTCGATGTCGTACTCATGATTTTCATCTTTAGTGCGTTGAGTCCTGAGCAGTGGAGTCAGGCTGTCAGTAATATCTGGCGCGTACTCAAGCCGGGTGGGCAAGTGCTGTTTCGAGACTATGGCAGGGGCGATTTGGCGCAGGTACGGTTTAAGAAGGGACGATACCTTCAAGAGAATTTCTATGTGAGGGGGGATGGTACGCGGGTTTATTTCTTTGAGCAGCAGGAACTTGAGAATATCTGGGCTGGCAAGATGCCATCACCGTCTAGTGGTAAAGAAGAGGAGAAGAAGGAGGGAGAAGAAGGTGCGGAGAGGCAATTGCAAGATCAAGTCAAGGAATTGCAGATCAAAGAGGAGGGAGAGCGGGAGCATGTCTTCGAGATTGCGCATATTGGGGTTGATAGACGCATGTTGGTGAATCGGCAGCGCAGACTGAAAATGTATCGGTGCTGGATGCAGGCGGTTTTTCGCAAAAAGGGGGGTGAGAGTCAGGTTCCTACCAGTACCCTGCGGCAGGAGAAGGATGGTGGAGAGGAAGAAGAGTAGTAAGTTTGCATTCTAGAATAGATGGATAGATTGGGGGTGAATGATACCACTTGCACACATACTCTGTCCCTTGTTTTTACTTTTTTTTTGATTCGATCTAAACTAGACTATACTACCTCGATGCCTGTCGAGTTTGAATGCTAAACAAACACCCATCCGTATGCTACGCTAAACAAATGCTTCAAGTCAGTCGCCTTACTCGCTTGCTATGATACAAAAAAAAACGCATTGTCCAAACCAACGCCAGTGTAACTTCAAACCCGCTCTTTTCGCTCATGACAAGCATTTCTAACCCCAATTACCTCTGACAAAAACATGAAGGGAGGGGGGGTAACGTGTCGCATGTCGCGTATACAACTCGTATTCCTCCGGTGTAAACAACAGCAAAGAAGAAGAAGAAGAAGAAGAAGAAGAAAAAAGCAGGCATGGCCTTACTCTTTACGTATCACCATCTCTTTCGCCCCCCGTTCTAGAAAACAAAACCCCAATTAAAAAAAACCCTATCCCCTATCAACCTAATTATCGGCCTCCAAAATCCCCCTAAGGATAGCAGCACCAGGCCCCACAAGCGACTCGCTGAGTTCCTTTTCCCCAACTACACTCGCGACTCTGCGCTCCTCAACCACCACACCAGGAAACGCCTTGCCCCTTCCGCGCCGACTCGGGGTGCCCGCACAAAAGACATCGAGGGATCCCGCCTTGCCGTCTACAGCTGAAATAAGTGACAGCGACTCCAGACTCGCTACGATATCGCGGAACTCGGTGCTGCTAAGCGGATGCAATATGTTTTCGCGCTTGCACAGTGTGGTGTATGCTTCAAAGAGGTCCTTGATAGTCGGGGATGTGGTGTGTGAACGGGATGGCGTAGATAAAACGGTGTCTGCAGCGGTAGCGCGTCGCCGCTTTTCAATGGCGGAGAGAGAGCATAAGACGGCCTTTTGTTGGAGGTTGAGGTTGCGGAGGCGTTGGCTTGTACCGTTGCTGAAGACTGCGGCGGTGATTTTGGCCATGTGGGCTATGGTGGCGCGGGGTGCGGTTTCCACTGTTAGAGAGGCGAGGGAGGCGGCGATGGCGGTGCTGAGGTCTTTGGGTTTGGAGGGGGAGCGGAGCGCGGCAAGGGAGGCGAGATTGTCGTTTTCTACCAGGGGAGCTTTTGAAGGGGAGGGTGTGGGGGAAGGGGTGATTTCTGCGGCTTTTTTGGCGTGTTGGTCGCGAGTGTCGGCTTCGATGAGGTCGATTGCTCGGCGGCAGATGTCAAAGGCTTTGCGCAGGTCGCCGGACTGGGCGGCGACTTTTTTGGAGAGGAACATTATGGCGGTGGGGTGGAGAAATGGTAGTTGACTCGTACTGCCTGCTGGGAGAAGCGCTTTGAGTTTCGAGGTGATGACCGAAGATATTTGCGCTGCGTTGTATGGAAGAAAAGGTAGGAGTTGTGGCTTGAGTCCGCGGGCCTTGAGTCGTGGGAGAAATCGATCTGTAAGGTCGAGGGCGTTTGCGATACCGACAAGAATCAGACTGGAAGACTTTTGCAGTGACCATTCGAAAATGTTGTAGAAGAGGTCAATGTCCAGCTCCAAGAGGTGGTCCACTTCATCCAGGGTCACAACGTAGGAAGATTCGCGCTGCATGAAAACGTTCCTCAATGCCTCCATCTCCTCGCCCTCGACAATCTCGGTAATGTCGACAAACTCCTCCAGCAGCGTCCTGTAGAGATCGCGGGCATTCTTCACGCTCATGCAGTTGATGTATCCTGTTTGGACAGAATCACCGTCTGAAACTGTGCGGCAGACATCGTTGACAAATGCGCTCTTTCCAGTACCCGGAGGCCCCGAGACGTAGATGCATCCAGACTTGCAGCCCTTTGTGCGGGCAGTGATGAATGTTTGGAGTTCCTTCTTTTCATTTTCACGTCCAAAGAGTACCGCGGGCGCCGAGCCTCTGGCAAATACTTGTCGCGCTTCGTTGTAGACAGTGGGAGCGGTGTGTCTCGGTGTTCCTGGAGTATGCGGTGTGCGTGGTGTCAGTGGTCGCCCGGGAATAATGAGTCGATGTCGAGGTGTGACGGCAACCTTGGCAGCAAGCGCGTCACGATGTCTGGGAGTCGAGGGAGTAGGCGCAAACTTCTCCGGTATATCGACCAGCGATTTTTGGGGGGAGTTTTCTTTGGCGGATGACAGGGGAAACCGCGAACATGGCTCGACTTTTTTGGCAGGTGTCGCCCCAGTTTTCCTTCCGCGCCGTGTGGAGGGTTTCTCTTCGGGTTCGTCCACGTCCATTGCATCCTCGGTCCGAACATTTTGCTTTTTGGGAGTGACGAATGGATTCTCAATCTCGCCCTCGTCGTGAATGACAAACTGGGTCCTCCGCTTCGACCGTGTTGCGACGTTCGATTTTGCATCTGCATAGCGCGTTAGGGACGTGTTGAAAGGGAAAGGGCTGCCGGGCACTGATTGCTCATACCGGAAGCGTCGACACGTGCCGAACTGCGAGTCCTCTTTCCAAGAATAGTGGAAGCCATGGCGTGTTCTCGACGGAAGGCGCAGTGGCAGTGATGTGTGGTGTGGAAGGTGTGAGGGGTGGTAATGGAAGGAGCTCATGGGATGTCAGCCTTAGCTGAAGAAGGCGCGACGCGACGCGTTAATTGAAGCCGAAACAGGTTAGCGCCGTCGCGTGTGCCGGACCGCATCTCCACCATTCCCCATCCGCCATGCCTCTTCCGCCCGTGGCCTCGCGTCGCACTTAGCATGAACATCCCTCACCTGGACAGAATCACGGAAATTGGCTCTCTTCAATGCAGCATGACCATGAATGAGCAAGCATCCGACAGCCTCCTGACCCGTGCCACTGTACGCCCTCAGTTTGCCAAAACTTCCCCAAGCCTCGGTAGCAATGTCACACTGGGCATAGCTTTGTCGACTTGTTTGCTCCAACATCCTGTGGCTTGGACTCCATGCCCAACAGAAACCGCTTTTCCTTGGACAACCTGCTGCCCATCAACTGATTATGGACTGACATGCAGAGAATGGCTTGACTTGCTCACCGCCACCAGCGTTTGCGTTGCACCATCATTTGTTTCCAAGTCATTACCTCCATTCCTCTGTTGCGCAAGCCACAGTAGGGCTACCACCGGATGTATGTCACGAAAAACAGAGTGCCTGATGCTATCATATAAGTACCCTTGTACTCTTCTCTTACCACGCGGTAAAGCATCTTTGCACCAAACACCATATTCTCTTCCATAGCGATTGATTGCATTTCTCAAACTGGCCCACGACCTCTGTCCTTGGATGTGGTCCCCCGCCCACGACCTGCCACACCCCGTCCCTTATGCCCACCGCCTTCGTGACCCATGGGCATTACCCAGTGTATGAACACCTCGATGGGCTTTTGCTAACCTTGCCAATACGCCATGCTGTGAGTTCTGTAGGGCACCAGGCAGGATTGTTAGTTACACGTCCAATGACCGCACCTATACGTCTCCTAACTATCACCAGCCTGGATTGGGTGAGGGTCTTGCTGACCTAGGGCATATTCTCCTGCCCATTGTACACTCGCTACTCGAAGCATTCCACAACATACACTACCACTACTAGCTGGGTTTGGACACAGCAAGCGAAGACCCGTACTTTCTGGCTCAAGAAGTAGAAGGCCTTTCCCGATATGTGCGAGAACTTTACAGAGCCTTCCCAGACATGATTGAGCTCGCCTTGTGGGCAGATCAGCTCAAGTACTTGGGAAAAGATATTCACATTGGACCCCCGGCGTATTCGCCATAACGCAATCCCAAGACACCGGCATAATCGCGGGTATTCCATACCCCAGATTGATTGGTAGACATAAGTGTAGACAGTTACCATTTGTATCAGACTACATTCCCCCAGCACGGGCATATCTCTTCAGACTCTGATTTCTTTGCCAATGGCAGAGTGGTATCAAAGCATGTTGCATCCGTGTTTTAGTCTGTAGTCAGCATTGAACAAATCTTTCTGCTTTGCAGTGGTCATGGCCACGAGCTGTCCCTACTATCCTGGCGCACAGCCAAACCTGCATAAAGCATTGATGTGTTTAACAAACACCTCCGTGAATTCATCGTCGATTTTGTTGCTAGAGCTTCGGCGAATTCTTTTTCTACGGCCGTTTCCATGAGATTGCTTTTAACCATAGTCTTTGTAAGAGCGTGCATTCAAAACCGTTGGTCTTGTCGACATTCATTGCAGAAACCAGTAAACGGCGGCTATGCAGAAATGAAGAGGCGATGCAATCAAAGACCACTGCAAAGGTTAAATGTATCTCCTATACATCTTGGGTGAGTTGGAGTATTCCAATGTATAAGAATCAGCCTAATCAAAAACAGCAACTAGCCCCAATATAGACGACGGGCTGGTGGAATACAGGCGAGAGGAAGAAAACGGTCATCGTGAGGTAAAACGTTGAAAAGAATGTCGCGACAGTTGGATAGAGTGTAATGTATCGCCTTTTGCTTTTTACGAAGTTGTCACGGGAGGAAGTCAGGTCGGTTGAAACGAAAGATTCACCAGAGCACACTATGTGTGTATTGACCTAAGCCAAAACTGTAATATCGAACATGGTCACCATGACACGCGAATGAATGCCACCTTACCGGTTCTTGGGCCACCAAAATGCCCAGCAATTCTTGCTACTGGCACGTTCTTTGTTGCACACTGATTTCAGCGGTGAAAAATCCGCCCCGAGCTCAAGAAAAGTACGGTGGCAGGCACGGTCTGGACCACACACCCCATCAACTTGCCAGCTATCTGCATATAGCCGGATGCCACCGGATGCTTTCTTAATATAGTGAATATTCAGCTTGTCAAGCCACAAAATCTCGATTTGACGAGGTAGCATCATTAGAGTGACGATCCACCCTTGTTATTGTTCTGATGCTGAAGTTAATTCCTGCCACTCAGCTCCACAAGGTGGTGACTCGTCGATCGTTTCCTGTTGTACTCGCCACGCAAGAAAAACAACATAACAATAGCGTTATGCAGGGTACACCCTTTGGGCCGAGACGTTCAATCGTGAAAAAGTTAGACCATTCTTGGGCATGCGCAGGAGGTAGGGACAGTACAATTGCTCGAGTCGTATTGCACTACCGGAATCGCGTAAGGAACAGAAACCCATATAACATGCATAAGTCCCCGCGATTAGAATTCCTCAACATCTCTTTCACTATCCTTTAATCATCATGTGGACGTCTACCATTATACTAGGCGCAGCTGCTCTTGTTTCATCAACCGCAGCGCAGCAGGCCTGCACTCCACCTCGACAGCCTACCTTGAACGCACCGGTCACCAACCCATGGAGATCACTTTCCAAAGAGGAGACTGCAAGTGCCAATGATATCCTGCAACAAAAGCTGAAGTTGAATGGCAACCAAGGATACAGTCAAGATAGTTATGTGTAAGTTGAACAGTTACGAACAAGACTACCATACTGAGCAGCCCCTAGTGTACAACTCGCTCTTTTGGAGCCCAACAAAACAGAAACAGCCAAATACTTAGACGGATACGGAAAGCCGCCTGGAAGATATGCACGCGCTACAGTTCAGAGTGGCGCTACCAATACAACTGACATGTTCTGGCAAGAGTACATGGTTGGCCCTCTACCAGCCACATATGCAACGACGATCACTCCGCTCACTTTTCCGTTTCAAAACACTCACGCGGGGAAAACAAAAGTGCATCCCTTGTATTCCAGTACAAATGAAGGGACACAGTTCCTCATGAAGTTTGGGGCTGCACACGAGGATATTTCACAGCGTTTGTTCAACACGGTAAGCAATGTCTTGTGAAAATCATGCCCGACCAATAACTAATGTTGCTCCAGACATTCCTGAGTGGACTTGTTGGTCTGCGTTTCGGCGCTCCATTCAAAGATGAAGATGGCCGTATCATTTCCTGGGCTGCAACCTATGGTGTTCCCACCAAGGAACTCAGCAGTGTTACAGTCGCACCACTTGGGTTCAATATCAAATTCGATATATCCTCACGAGATTGGAATGACTGGAGTGTTGCTGGTTGGTACTCGGTTGGGAAATTCTATGCCTCTACCGAAGAGTTTCGGGCGGCGATCAATTCTCCCAAGTACAAAAAGCCCTCGCCAAATGTGGCGGGCGAATGGTCTTCCACTGACAAGAACGGAAGTCCAATGCCATTGGATGAGCAGCCGCCTCCCACATCTATTGCACAAGGAGCCCAGAGATTTCGCATCGATCCCGATGAGAACTATATTTCCTGGATGGACTTTAGCTTCTACCACAACGTTGCTCATGATCGGGGACTGTCACTCTTTGATATCAAATACAAGGGAAAGCGCATTTTGTATGAGCTTTCCCTCCAGGAAGCGTTGACAGCCTACTCGGGCTCGGATCCATTTGCATCCCAAGCAACCTTTTACGACACCACAAGCGGCATGGGAGCTGAACTAACGCCCCTCATCAAGGGCTATGATTGTCCAAGCTATGCCACATATCTGCCTGCATCATGGAACGCGGGAAATGCTACAAAGACCCTTGAGGATGCCATATGCATCTTTGAGTTCGACCCCGGATATCCAATTCGCCGCCATTCCTTTGGCCAATACACGCCTCACACCAGTGTTGCGAAGAACATCCAGTTCACGATGCGAACTGTAGCCACCGTCGGCAACTACGACTTCCTAATCGACTACACCTTCTTCTACGACGGCGCCATTGAAGTCTCCTCACGCTTCTCCGGCTACATCTCGTCCACATACTGGGAAAACACGCCCGACTACGGCTTTCACATCCACGACTACCTCTCCGGCAGTATGCACGACCACACGCTCACCTTCAAAGCCGACTTCGACATCAACGGCCGCAAAAATAGCGTCCAGAAAGTGACTTTCAAGCCCATCACCACCGACTACCCTTGGAGCACCGGCCGCAAATACAACACCTTCAATGTCCAACGCTCCTTCATCGACAACGAATCCCACTCAAAAATCAACTGGGCCGAAAACGACAACACCATGTACGCCGTCGTCAACAAAGACACCCCCAACCGCTTCGGCGAGTACACGGGCTACAGAATCAAGAGAGCAGCAGGTGCCATCCACCTTACCCAGACAAACTCCACAAACACCGGTAAAGCAGGCGCATTCGTAACCCACGACCTCTACATCACAAAGCAAAAAGACACGGAACCCCGCGCCGCAGACAGCCTAAACCAGTACCAGAAAGAAGACCCCCTTGTCGATTTCTCTACCTTTTTTGACGGCGAGAGTTTGGACCAGGAAGATGTGTAAGTTTTCCTTCCCCCAACTCTTTTTTTTCCCCACCACCACCACCCACTAACATGCAACGCAGTATCCTCTGGTTCAACCTAGGTATGCACCATATTCCGGGGACTAATGACCTTCCCGTCACAATGTTCAGTTCTGCGCATTCGGCGATGCGGCTCGAACCCCTGAATTACCTGGAAGATGGCGATCCGTCCGTGAGCAGTAATCAGCAGGTTAGGATTGATTACGATGATGCGGGTAAAGTGAAGTTTGTTGAGGAGTTTGGGAAGGTTGGGGGGAAGATGTGTAGGTGATTGTTGGGGGGGTTGATTGGTTTTTTTACTCTCTCTCTTTCTTTCTCCTTTGTCATTGTTGAGTTGAAAAGAACAGGGCAGTATATGCGCCCCATATCGTTTATTTTTTTTTCGTCTTTCCCGTTGAGCGGGAAAAGCTAGATTTGTCATTTGTTTGTTTTTTATTTCGGAAGGTTTTTGGGGGGGAGACACTTTGTACATAGAATGTATTCGCATATGTAATAAATACACCAAGTTTGCGATATCTCCTTCTTCTCCATTTCCAATCACACACGAGGAAATATCTCACGCATTTCCTGAAACAAAAGGGCAAAGAAGTACGATTTGACGGATTCATTAGTACTAACATATTCTACATATTTTCTTTTTCCAAACCCCCCCCTCTCCCCCCAAGTGTCCCCAAACGCAACGAAACCCCATTACCTCAACGGCTTGACAAACTCTGCCCAAACCTCCAAAAACGCCCTCCGATCTTTTTTACTCTGAAACTTAATCTCCAACTCCGAATACCCAAACCGATTCAGATTCCCCAACCGCCCCGGATGCCCCGCGCTCGTAAGCGCAGTTTTGAACGACTCGTTCGACGCAATCGACGCCTTCGTACCGGACCGTGTTAGCTGCGGAATTTCCATTGAATCGTTGCGTTTTCGGGGTGAGAAGAAGGAAGAAGAGGAGGATGGGGACGCGGGACTCTTTGGCGCAGCGACGGTGCTGGCGCTTGAGGACTTGCGGCGCTGGAATAGCTTATCGGATTTCCAGCGCGCTGCGTCTTTGGAGAAGACGAGGGTTAGTTTTTCGCTTTCTTTTTTGAAGACGGCGTCGGTGAGCCATTCGAATGCGTAGTGCGGTTCCTCGACCCAGTGGCCCTTTTCTTCTAGCGCGCTGGTGTAGAATAGGAGGACGAGCACGTCGAAAGTCACAGGCCCGTCATCTTCCAGATGTGTTTCGGTACGGCGCCAGAGACGGAGGTTGCGGCCGCGGCACTCGGTGGGGTTCTTGTCGGATGAGATAGTCAA